TTTTTTTATACTGCTCTATATATTTAAAACTGTAAGTCTTCTTTATTTTCACTTGTATTCATTTTGTTGCTCACTTATTTGGCTTCTAGGTTTAACAAGCAGTTCTCCGGAAGCTACAGTAAACCGGCAACTAAACCCAAAAGCAAGCAACTTAGCTGATCGCAACATTCACAGTGCAGTCTTACCGGGCTCATCATCTTACTTAGGTAGCGTCTCAAGCTTGGCTAATAGGTTGAAGGTCAGTGGTTACAGTCTTTGTTTTTGTCTCAGCTGAATCTTCTTTTAAAAATTACGCTACGTATCTTTAACTTTTGTTGTTTAAGATTGATATCGATCCTCGAGGAAAGCATATGGTTTCCAGCGTTTCGCCGGTCAGTGCACTGTTTTCAAATTCGGCTGAACGCTCTCCGTCAAGCCTGGATAGCAGTGGGAATGACGATGAGGCGAGACATGATTCGGCCGTTGGGGAAAGACGAGACTCAGGGGTTGGGTCTAGCTTATCGAGGTCCCCGAGGTCGGATTTTATATCACTGTTATAAAATAAGCTCAACATTTGAAGTCTAAACCAGATATAGCCATAATATAAATTCTTGTAGTTTTTTATAATTTGAACTAACGGCACCTATAGGACTAACCGTTAAAGGCGCTCTTTAATCCATTTTTCAATCCAAAAATTACCTTTATTATTACTTTTTTTTTGCTTCGATGTTCTCCTAATAAAGCTTTTTAGTGGCCCAACAACACAGAGACAACGGGCATCATTACTTGTGCCTTGCCATTCAAACAACAATAGTATGACTTTGCGCGAGTTTAAAAAGAGGTCTCCTGCTTCATTGACTTTTTCACCGATCAGCAGCCGTAACGAAGAACTCGAGACATTTATGAACGACGATGATTTAATGCACTGCATGGACGCATTAAGCGCTGATGAGATGGTAATTATGTCCATTGTTTTATCACTAGCTTGTCTAAAAATTACGGAAAGAAGCAAAAAAGTGTTTCCTAAATATTTCAACCTTGATTTAAAGTTATTTTTACTCGTTAATTATTGCAGTTACGAGTCCGAAAGTTAGCTTTCTTACGTCTGTCAGCATTAATCGAAAGATACGCAGGTAGTGGAGTTAGAATAGGGAACGGTGGCACTAGCAACGGCGGCATTGTAAAAAATTGGGCTGTTCAAAAGTTTAGACGAAAACTTCGTAGTTCTGACCTTAAGCCATCTAAAGGTAGTTTTTGAAGCATTGATATTCTAAAATCATCTTTCCCTGCCAATCTTTTAAACTGATAAATGGTGTTGGACCGTTGCAGATCTGTCCATATTTGGGCTTTCGTTGACTACGGTACAGAGTCTTACGGGTCTCGTTTTGCCGCGAAGCATTTTGGAAATAATGCAGTTCCTTCGCACAGCTGCATCTGATACTATCGGTATTTTCCGTAAAAATGGAGTTCGTTCTCGTATAATGGAACTACGTGCTATGTGTAGTGTACAGCCTGGAGAAGAAGTTTTTCCAAATGGCAAAGGCCTCGATTTGACACAGGCAATCAAATCGTTTTTTTGAATCACCAGTATTATTGCGATATAGCTGCTTGTTGATCAATTAGTTTCTTTAATAACAAAATTGCTTTCACTTTTTTCCTATAAAAATTATCAAAATTCTTTCTTGAAGAGGTTTATCAAAAATAGTCAGAAATTCTAAATTTGTTGCTTTTTAGGTGCACGATATCGCTGACATGCTAAAACAGTACTTTCGAGAATTACCTGAGCCACTGATGACAGCCAAATATTCCGACGTGTTTGCAAATATCTTTTTACGTAAGTCAGGGGTTTTTGATTACACTACTTTTCTCACTTCTGTAAATAATCTTTGTTCGAAATTCGTAAGACTAATCAAAAAATCTGCAGACGTACCGAAAAGTTTTCGATTTGAAGCACTTCAACACGCATTGCTGCTTCTGCCTGATGAAAATCGGGAAGCACTTCAGACTTTACTGTTCTTCCTTCACGACATCGCAAAACATTCCGCTATGAATAATGTAATATTGACATTTCTCTGCTTCACATATTTCTGAATCATTTGCAAATTCGGTGTTTTAGCAGGTATAATCAAATTCCTTCATTCTTTTTTATAGATGAATTCTCAGAATCTTGCTGTCTGTTTCGCTCCCTCACTTTTCCATCTGGGTGTTTCTCGTCTGAATGCGATCAGCTCTACGAGGTAATTGTTGAAATGAGTCTTCTGTAGCCAAAACTTTTGCCAAATTGCAACAATTATCAATTGAATCTTTCAGCCGCCATAAAACCATTGGAGCAGCGGGAATGCCTACTGAGCGAGAGATGAAGGAGTCGCGTGCCGCGCAAGAGTGCCTCGTTCAGATGATTGATGATTGCGTTAAGCTTTTTATCACTCCATCTGTAGGACAACAGTTTGACCAGGACCTCGATTCAAGTGGTCTTGATACGGACATTTTATCGCTGACGGAGTTTAATTCAACGGATAGGAATTCTCCTAAAAATTACCTACAGCAGTCTTCTCTAGATTTGCTGAAGGCAGGCTTTTTTTGAGCCATCAGTACTCACTCTGAGATTAACAATAAAAGAAAAGAAAATTACTGTGTACCTTGCGTTCATTTAGGAACACCGAGATCGATGGAAGGGTTGGTATGTAGAAGGTTCAGTTAACGGGATAGAAGTTTCTAGCAAGAAATCGGTTGACAGAAATTCGCTTAGATACTTTAGAGTGTGGGTTGAGGTCGAAGCTCCACCAAAAGAAATTCTCACGAGAATAGTGCGGGAAAGGTAATGCATTAACAGAACTCACCTTATGCGGTTCCTAAATAGTGTTTATTTTTCAGGAAAGCTTTACGTTAATTTCACTCTTTCAACGTTTTTATAGTTAACGCTTTACAGGAATTTGTGGGACAAGCAGACAATAAACTGGCGCACCTTGCATTCGTTGCCAAATAGTAATTTTGACGTGTTCCAGTATGTAATAAACGACACTCCTTCACATCCAACTAGAGATGTTGTTGTTATGAGGCAAATATTTTTGATTTTTTTCCGTGGAACTTTTGTACAGCTCAGTTGCAGTAGTTTTTTAACTCACATGTACAGCTTGATTAAATGTTCACTTCTATTTCCAGGTTATGGCGCACGGACATTAAAGATCTTCGTGGCGGATGCACTCTCGTTGAAAAATCGGTTCACACTCACGAATCCCAACTACTTGGAGGTATTCCTGCAACGGTGTTTTCCTCGCGTTTCCTAGTGGAACCAAGTTCTGGTCGTTCAAGAGTGACATACATTAGCCGAGTAGATCTTAGGTAATGATCCACTCAAAGTTTAAGGAACTAGAGACTTGGTTTTCTTAGTGGTATTATTGATGCATATCTTCCAGAGGACGCAGCAATATTTGGTATCGAAAAGTTTATGGCAATCTTCTTGCTCGCCAGATGGCACAGCTTCGTGATTCGTTCAGACAACTAAATCGTACTGTTGACGGGCCAGAAACCAAAATTTAAGCACCCATCATCATCCACAAATCGCTTTCGGCGGCATTTAGTGTTGAATTTACCTCATTGCTCATGAACTTTGTAAGTCAGGCATGTTCTTATCTCATAATATTGTTTTTAATAACTTTGTCGCTCCCATCAGATATGGCTGTTATATAACTTTTTGTTTAGTTACTTTTGTTATCTTTACGATGGGCTTATTTCAAATTATAAAAGTCTCTTTATCAATTAATTGGTTTCTGATCGGGTTTTACACATGGGTCAACATTTCAGCATCAGGTAGTGGAGTTTTTAGGTATTTCAACTGACCCATAAAAGTCAGTAAAACTTTTTGTTTTTTTTTTTTTATTTATCTTGCTCAAACTGATGCTAAAAATGTTACCCAAGGTTGCCATCATTGTGATGCTTTATATAATGGCTTTTCTCACAGCTTCATCTTGTTCGGTGACTGATTGTTATTTGACTTTTATATTAATTTTAATCATGGAGTTGTGCATTCAAGAGAAGTGGATGTTTGTTTATGGCTCTTCTAAAATGATTGTATATATTGTGCTCGTTTCCGGCAAACGCTTGTATTTAAAGCAAAGTAATGTAAATGAGTAAATTTAATAAAATGTTAAATAATTTATGAAAGAACTTGGTTTGTTTCAAAACCTTCAATTTCATAGGACAACAAACCTCACTTGAATATAAGTAACGTTCTGGACTCCCTCTTTCACTCACAAACACCAACTGATACCTATCTCTGTCAGTTCCGCATAACGACTCCAAGAAAGTTGTAGAACAACGAGAATCAAAAAGCTGCAGACTGCTTTATTTCAGAATATCTATGTCACTTTTTATTGCAAACATGGGGTTCAAATGAAGATTCAGTAGAGTGATAAGTAAGGTAATTATTTACAGCACTGCTGTTTCTTGTATTCGGTCAGCGATAGTATTAGCTCACCAAAGTTTTCCTCTTCCGTGAACGACGCCTTAGACGATAAGTGCTTGTGGGTTGCTCTAATTCTGAAAGAAAAAAGTGGCAGATTGATGAGTGAGAAGAAAAAGGAATTTTTTGTAAAGAATTATGGGAAATTTTGGTGTTTGTGAGCCAGCTGAATCGTTATTCAAAACTATTTTTGTTAGTTAATGGGAAGCTAAAACAAAAGTTTCACTTTTGAAAAAATACAGTTATCCTCTCATATGTTTCAGGATTTCATTGAATCTTGTTTTTGGAAATTTCATAAAGAAAGCTACGATTGTTATACTACTGATAGTTACGAAGGTCAAACATAAAATTGGCTACTTGAAAAACTTGTAATACTTTCCAAATTAATTCTCGGCTTTCAAATAAAACTTCAGCTTACCGTAATCATCATCCTCCTCGTGCACGAAGCCGTCACGTTCGCATGAGATATCCATTTTTGGAACAAAATCATTTCCACCCTGTAAAGTTACAGAAATCTTGTTTTGTACATGAAAAAGTTCTGATCAGTGCATGGGGTTAACATATTGCAAAAACTGGAAAAATATTTTGAGGTTCTCACGACTATATCTAAAGATATTCGTGTTAAAGTAGGAGAAATTCAATTCCAACAAGTTAACTTAAAAAATTCCCCCTTCCCTATCAACCTTAGAAAATTTGCAATTCTAAAACTTTTATCTAAAAGCACCAAAATTTTTTGGTTCAGCGGTCAACTGTTTGAAAACTAGCTTAAGTAAATGCTCCAAAAGCGTCGAGACTACTATGATTACCAGAAGATGCAAGAAAGAAAGTACCACAATCGAACTGAAAAGCTATGATTACATCGGAAAATAAGGTAAAGTTTTCAAATCAGCCAGGTTGTAACAGGGTAATACCTTACACATGAGACTGCAAGTGGAACCAGAATTATGTCAAATCGTTCTTTGCACGAATAATACATTATCAGTTTCCCAATAAAAATTATGTATTACCAATGAAGATCTGAAGAAATGCCGTTTGCCGTTTCACCTATTGAACTATAAGCTACTGACACTGAATCTCAGTAGCAAAAAAAAACAAATATTTCACAGAATGAATTCATGATTAAAAAAAAAACCGACTGCTATTTCTAGCCAATGCTTCAGAGGCTCTTTAAACATTATGTAAAAATTCATCATTGCTCTCCTGTAACGAGTTATGAAACGATCCATAAGAGAGGAAAAACCCTACAGGTGTTTGAGAAACGTGAGAATGATACAGAAATCGCACTATAACCGTCGTGGCATAATCATTCAAGGAACAAAAGATGATTTTCTCAAAGGACTAGATAACCGTTCACCGCACAAAGCCCACTACAACAATGCATAGATGCGTTTCCCTAGGCTTTGATAAAACAAGCCTATTCATAGAATCCTACTAAATCGAATTCCCTGGGTCCCTCTGCTTGCCTCGCATCAAGGGGGAAGATGTCACCTCTATTGTATCAGTGGATGGAGGAACAAATCCTAATGGGATATGTTGATGCTCTACAAAAGCACAGTGCAGTGAAGAGGCGATCCTGGTCAAATTCAACCCTGAAGTCTGGACTATCAGAAACTATAAAGCTAGACTCACGATTATTCAGCACCTGCATTCTATAACTCTAAGAAGCGGTCAACCGTGCTTATATATACGAAGAACCACAGTAAAAAAATTGATAACTTTTACTGATAGCAAACCAGCTAAACTTGTAGTGAAACTTTAAAACTTAAAAATCGTTAGTATGCCAAAAAAAGCAGTAAAACCTTTTGTAATCAATTTAGCCCATTACTGTAAAGTATATGTAGTTATAAAACTTATAAGAAAGCACATCAAATGAGAGAATGATAACATCTTTTGAAAAAAGAAGAGATCTTAAGAACAACTTTAGATTCTCATATAATCGCAAACTTACTTCTACTTCGCCAAGGACTGTCCGTTTAGACCCGACAAGAAAAGCAGGGATGTCACCAAACTCGAACCAACGCAGACAAGAACCATTCAGGGCGTACTGAGGCTCTAACATAGCGATTCCGAGTTTTCGTGATCCGGATATGACAACGTTCTCGAGAGATTCAACGGCTGACTGATCCTATGTAAACTTACGCTAAAGTATCAGGCCAATAATTTATGCGTATGCTTGAAAAAAGGAAAAAACATATTGTCATTCCAAAAATTGTAACGTGCGTTAGGATGTTTTACTCTTCCAGGAACCCAGTAATTTAAGTATCACGCTTTCCTTCCTCATACCGCATCAAAACAAACCCACACTCTTCTTCTTGACCTCCTTGCACTACCCATGATGAAACTAAGTTCTCAAAACTCAAAAAAGAAACATTTATAGACAAGAATATAACTTTTTAACAAGTCACAGTAAGAAAAAACGTTTTTGAAAGTGGAATGACTAGAAATATTTCAACGGGGACTCATAATCCCACGCCTTTCACTACCAAAATGACGCTTTCCTCGTAAAATAGAAAAGTTCATTATGCAACATAAGAATTTGAAACTGCCTCGTCAACATTACCTCATGCACATACAGTGTACGATCGCCATAAAATGCTCTAAACAAATAAGTGAATTCACCACTCCCTCTTTTAAACCGAATTAATCCAAAGTAGCTGCCATCGTCAACAGATTCAAACCGTAGTAGTCGCTTGTTAACAGCGGGTGGGCATATATTTGACGAGGCTTTCGAAGTGTCTAGCAAAAACGTGTTACATTAGAGAAAAAGTAGTGTAAATCTCATACCAATTGACCTAGCTAATTATTCAAAAATTCGCGACATATTTTCAAAAAAAAAGATACAGTACTGTATAGAACCCAGTCAATACTTTTTTTAACTAGGAGTTATATAAAAAGAGTGATTAGCTGTTAAAGTGAAATTAAGAGAGCGCAAAAACTACCTGCTGTATCAACTGACAACGGCTTATCAAAAGTACCCGAGCAGGATGGACCTTCCACCTTGTCTTCGGAGGAAGCAGCTAACTTCTAAATCTTTTTTAACGATTACTTGTGGAAAGCAAATTCGGTTAAAGTGAGAAGAGTATACAAAATGAGTGAATCCTAATAAAGTACAAAAAATAAGTGAAGAACAACTGGAAGAGCGAGGAAACAACCTGAACAACAAACTTTTACTACTTTAAAAGATGGAAATAAACCTTAACATCTTCTAAAGCCTGCCCAGCAGAAATTTCGCCATCAAAAAGCGTTTTTGAAATTAATTCTCCCGTAGCAGCATAAATGCAATGCCGCCGTCCGTCAGATCCTATACAAGATAAAGCTGGAAATGGAGATTTCCCAAACTTTGCTTTCATTGAATTTCTAGCTGAAATATGAGCTTAACAAACTTTTACAACCGGTGATTCGGCAAAAAAGGTAAAAAATATCCGACAATTCGACCCACTTTCACTGGTTAAGTGCAGAGACTTTGGCAGCTGAAACGTGAAAAAACTAAAAGTACTAAATCCTTCCGCATGTCCCTGTTCCAAATACACAGAAGAAACCTAAAAAATCTGGAAATAAAGATTAAAAGAACTGATGTGCTATTCAATAAAATAGGAAAACAGCTTACAGGTTTGGCAAGAGAAATGTAAGTTTCTAGGATCTGGTCACGTATTAAATCAAGAGAAGTAACACTATTTTTAACACACTGCGCCAACGTCACTTTTGGACAATGTTTATCCCGTAAACTCTCGTCTGAGCACGAAAGGAGAGATCCACACTGTTCATCCCATACACTCTCATCTGAACATGAACTGAGAGAATTATCCTTTTGCCCTTCAGCATTCTCCGAAGCTCCATGAGTTTCGCATATATAATGTATTATCTAAACTTTTTAGATAATGTTGGCTTTAAAAGTTAATATTTTACAACAGGTCTTATTCCAAATAGAAAACCGTAAGAGACCTGGTCAACGCATAAGTCAGGCTCCAATTCTGAAATTAATTTCTTCGCAGCACGCTCTTCATCCAACTCATTTCCAGTTGCTGCCTCCCCAGGCTCTTCCTCATTCTTCACCAAAACAAAAAGATGGTAAAAGAGATTTAAAAAACTAAATTCCAAAGTAATTTTGAACGAAAAATTGCAAGACCTCAAAAGTAGAAAATATGAAAGAACAAAGTTGAATGAACAAAAGACTAATGTTAAACTTATTCACAAAAAAATAAAATTTAAGCAGTACAATATTCAAAAGTTACTTTGGACAAGGAAACTGCTATACCATTATTAATTCTATAAATTACTGATAACACAACAGTACCATGCATAAACTGCGGATCTGTTTTGCCAAAGAAGAGGAGCTTCGTTTATCCGGTAAAACAAAAAAATCCACAATAAACTGAAAATTTATTTATCTTGGAAACTGAAATGTCACCCAAATACTTGTCGCAATAAAACAAATTCCAACGAGATCTCTTTAAAACCGTAGAAACAAGTCTCGCTCTCACAAAGTTCTTGCTTCTAAAGACTTGTGACTTTTAAACTATAGATTTAACCCAGAGTGATTTGACAGCACTATAATAGTTAACTAAAATATAATGTTTTACTTCAATGAGTTGCGTGAGATCATATTTTACACACGTATTAGGCTCCACAGAAGGCCCTTTGCTTTTAAAGGGGGGCGTTAATGAAAGCCACCTCATAAAGTTGAGCAACTTTTCTCTGAAAATGGTCACTGTCAGTACTGCTAAAAGCATCACGAAATGTAATCTTAAAAACTTGGTTTTAATTTAAGCCAAGACAAACAGTACCGTCAAAAAACAATTAGAAATTAAAAAGCATTAAAAATCATGCAAGTCGCTTTCAAAAACTGGCAGCCTATTTTTTTTTCTCTTCAAATTAAAAAGTAACAAAGGAAAACAGTTTCAAAGAAGCAGACAGGAAAAACACTAGAAGCAGTAACTTGAAGCACACCATAAATCAAATAACGATACCTATTTTGCGCAGAAACAGCAATAAGTTCGGCAGCTTTGAAATGCAACTGATCAGCCAATTCCAAAACCTTTTTTAAGACTCCTGAACTGATCGACTTTTCCCTTTCCTCATCATATCCACCATATGGATATATATCGACATCAAATATCCTTTTTGGCAAGACGTCGACCCTGGAATATCTATTACTCGTTTGCTTCGATCACTTCTCACTTGTAATCAGTTTCCAAAATTTAAACGCTCATAGCTTTTCTCACAAATCAAAACAATCGAGGTAGATAACTGCATCATTTAATGAATTCTCAATGTCTAACGTTTATCCTCTTGAGCAGCTACCACATAGTGTAAGAAAATGCTGAATTATTTTGCAATTCAACACAACCCCTTTAAAAAGCGTTTCCCTGTACCACTACTCACCTCGCGAGAGGATTTTGGAATAATCTCAGGAAAAATTGAAAAAATTACTAATGCTAAAAGTCAGTGTTATAAATATCCAAAGCTCAAAACTTGTACTTAAAAAGAGCTCCTGAATGTATCGATAAAAAAAATTTTAATTTTACTAAGATAATATATTCATATTAAAGATTACAGGCGTCACTGTATCAACAGCATGTAAACACTACCTTCCAAAACGTTGCGTCGCAAACCCTAAATCCGCCACTAGTCTTTTTAAATGATGTTGATATAATTCCACGCTTGTCCAGAGCTCATTTTTCAATAACATTATTAACTTACTGAAACAGGAGCTGTAAAGTGATAGCAGTACTGAAAAAACAAAAAAATTGCTTAAGCTTTGTGGTAAACTACTTTTTGAAAAATTCGAGAAATTATTCCGAAATACCTAAATCCCCGGCCTACCCATTCCCTCATTTTCTTCCAGTCCACTTCAGACACTTCACGGAAATATCGCTGTAACTCTACTTCACTGTCACCTCTTAGAATATTATCAATTAAGCATTCTGCTATGGTTACAGTCTCCCCATTAATATTCCTCATATCGTATCTTTCAAAAGCTTGATGGAAATGCTATAAAAGGTAACGTTAAATCACACTGGAATTTGAGTTAAGAACAACCAACCAAATAAAAAAACGAATAAAAACATCCATGCTTCTTCCATGTATCAGAGAACAAACACTTCAATTTCTCTTTATAGCAATATTCTAGAACGATTACTAAAAATACTAACACTTTGAACCGTATAACGGCAGTAATTAATGCAATTTATAAGTGTTTTTTAAAATTATTCTACAGATTTCTTTACACCATCGCAAACTTAACCTTTGACTGTTCCTCCCAGTCAGCTATCATTTTTGCAAATGCATCAGAGATACAGCAAACAGAATAGTAAAGCCGCAACCATCTAAATTTAACTTCATAAGAAAAAGATTTTTGAGAAAAATAAAGCAAGAAAACGATGTAAACGATATAAGTATGACTCTGAAAGAAACCTGTAAGTAATCCTCCAAATAAAACCATTTTTAAAGCCTCCTGAGGTATCGATGTCGAAAGTAATAATTTGCGTATTATACCCGTAATTAGCGCCTCCATCGCATTCTACAGAAGATAAATTACACTAGTCAATAAAAACTGTAAACAAGTTTTCTTACAAAGTAGATTACATGCCATTACTTTTAAAACAACAACAATTTGTAGACGCTCTTCTTTACTAAGATATAACAATATAAAAGAGAAAAAAAAACCAACTCGACTTTGCTGACTGTCCTATACTAGAGTAAACAACCAAAAGCTGAGCGTTTTTGAGCAAATGAACGTCGCCAATGGTAATTGAATAAGGGTCGCACTTTGCTAAATCATTTTCAATTAATTCGGAGCAAACAGAAAAATTTAACAGGTTAAAGTAAAATTGAACTGTAGCCACAAAGAAAAAACAGTGAGGTAGCGAAACAGCATCGAAAGCGAATGTAATTTACTGTATCAAAAAGTCCATACAAGCCTATGCAAACTGTAATACTTTTACATTAAAAAAGTTGTCAGCAAGAAAGCCAAAACACTAACCAAAGTAATCTGTAGGTGGCTTGATAGAAAGTATGGGGAGTACCCCTGCTGCAAGCACGTGTATTACATGCTCTTCATCTGTCACTAACAAGACGGCACCTACCAATTCCGATGTATAAAAGCGATCACAGAAAGATCTTAATAAAGTGATATTTTCGACAGAACTTGTTTTCTCAGACTTTTTATTTCTGGATGGCACATCACCGATCTGTAAATTACAAAAATTATGCTAGCTATTTAAGACACGCTACCAACTAAAAAATGTAAAGTATATAGAATTTGTTCAAGACTGCGCGATAATCAGAAGACTTACAAGTCCAACAATGCGATCGTCGTCTTCAATCTTAATCTGGTCACCAAAACTATCCCATCGCATTTTCCTAATTGCACAGCCAAGACTTAAAAGAAATAAGAATAAAACTAGAAGAAAGTAAAAAAATTTACTTGCAGCTGTAGTTGACAACTGTGAAGTATAGTGGTAATTTTGAAAAAGTACTTACGAAATAGAATAGACGATATGACCGTGTTCGCGATCTAATAAATGGATGACTCCATTTCTGAAACCTACGGAGAGAAACTGAAAATAATTTTATTGACTAAAATGGTACCACAAAGAAGAAAGAATTTTCTGAATGGTGCACTCCAGACTGCAGCTGTAGTTGTGTAAAATGCCATATGCAAATAATAGTGTTGTAAGTGAATCCTAACTGTCTTCCAGTAACAATCAAATTTTACCTCAAAAAAATAAAAAAAAAAAGAAAAAGTCTACAATTCAAATCATTATCAGGAAAAGTACAAAGTGGAACATTACCATTCCGTTTGGACTCCAGCATATCGATGTTAATTTTGAACTCTTCTTATTCCCAGTATGATATTGTAATAACGGCCTCGCGGTACCAAGGTTCACCTTAAATTCAATCAAAAAAAAAAAGTTGAAAGAAACATTTGAAACAGAAGTAACAACTGCATCGGCTTCTCCCAAACTTATAAGGAGTTTTGAAGTGATCATGAGCATTAAAACTACTAAAACGTAAGAACAATTTTTTACTTTCCAGCCACGTTTCCATAGTCGTCGACGCGTGTTGATTTCACCCTTTTCTGAAGCAAGAGCTATTAAATCGATACTTGGATTCCATTCAGCTTTATACACCTGTGAATTTGTGTAATTTTGCTGTCAGTCATTATTAACTAAGAGAAAGTTCCTTAGATTTTAAATATTTTTTAAATTTCTGTATCAGCAACACATTAAAGTTTAGCTTTAGACAGTTCCTTTCAAGAAACATTTTGTCCATAAAAGGCATAACGAACCACATTAGTGCAGAACACACCACATCCCAGAACTAATCACGACTTTTAAATAAAATAAAAAGGCAAATTAAATGAAAGCAAACAAATATAAGCAACGAACGGTGAACGGAGCGTTATATCGTCTCACCGAATTCCCAAGAATGTCTACAACCTTCCACCGACTTAATGACGACAGCTTCGATATTCCTTCATCACTGACATCCTTCCCCATCCAGCCTCAAAAAATATAGCAACTGATATAAGACCAATACGAAATGTAAGCGAGGCATAACAAACACCACCTACCGCCAAATAAAACTAAAAAAAAGAAAACTTAATCCTCCTCCAGCAAAATACTCCAGCATGACTTAACCATATACCCACCCAAAATAAGCAAAGCAAAGACAACTGTTCGTTAGGGTCAACCCCTTAGCAAATACAAGAGAACAAAAGTTCATCCACACGCAAACTAAACTAATGGAGCAACCCAGACTAGAATCGCTAACCAACCCAGAACAGATAAAAACTTTTGACAACTGTGCTGCAAGAATCAAAGAATGATCCCCAAATAAATTTATCTTCTATTTATACAGTGAGTTTGCCAAGCGGATACAGAACAGTCAGAATCACAACTTAGGCACAAAAAGCACAACAAAAATATTGACAGTAACAAGACTAAAACGGCACTAAATTGATTTATTAAGCTGACACAAATTCTAGCTCAGACGTTTTCATATAATTTGTATCCCCTTGATATCTGTTAATTCCAATAACGAAAGTGAAGTAACATCGACAAATTAAAGAATTTAGAATTAGCACAAATTGGTGAGAGAAGAGCTCAGAAAATTCACTTAATTCGTACAGGTTAGGAAACACAACAACAAAAAACTTATAAGATCACTAAATCAGTAATAAATACATTCATATTGCTCCAAATTTTTCTTTTTGCATTTCATTAATTTTCCAAAAATTTCCCGTCTTCATTATCTCATATTCCTTTTGGAGTCGCTGTCTTCTTTCCTTCCTCTTCCTTGACCTAGAAATCTCCCTCTTAACAGGTACCTGCTCCTAAAATCAAATTTTAAAGAATTACAATGACCAAAAACAGCTTTTAATAAGGAAATAACCAACAAGAGGAATAACAAGCAAATTTTCAGTGATTAATGCCAGGAGAAAAGAAAAAACGTAAGACCGCACTTGATCACCATTTACATTTTCAGCACTATCTTCAGCTTCGACACCGTCGTTACTGCCAACATAAGGACTATCCTCAGCAGATGCGTGGGAAGAACCTTGAGAAGTTTGCTGGTAATCCAAGGGTGAGGCAGATGCTACCGAGTGATTAGTAGCCAAGTTTTCGGTGGCAGCCTTGTGTTGCTAGAATACAAAATTAATCATACCACAGCCAAGATTAGATTTTTTATACCGAGAAGAATTATGCAAGAAAAAAAATAACTAACTCATATTCACCTTATAAGCTACTGATAGTTGATTCCACGCTGCTTCCACCGCCATTTGCTCAGGTGTTCCACTTTCATCACCAGATCCTAAATCTTTCTTCTTCCTCTTATGCTTTCTTTTCCGCAACTGACGCTGCATTTCGTCTTCGCTTGAAACCATATCATCACTATGCTTATGACGTCTGAAGCAGTGTTTGAATTAAAAAAAATCTGAAGCATTCCAGTTTATCTCAAGAGCATTGGCTGTATTCATCGTTGACAGTAACGCAACTCGAATAACGGAGCAAAGAAATAAACGAATTTTCTGCCTAAAAAAACAGACGTAATAAAAAGAACGAAAAAAATTACTTTTTTGTCCTTCTTTCTTTTGCTGCTCGATGCAAAGCTTGGATATAGGACCCACGTTCAATAGGGTATCCACGAGCTCTTTCGAAGGCTATAAATATAAAAGGTAGTTTACAAGAAAAAATACAGCTGCTTTCACGTTTTTAGCAACCTTTTCACCACGGCATCATTTTAAGTCTCTAAAAAACCCTCCCAACATCCTACATCAGAACAACACCTTCCACATCCAGCCGCCAAAGTATTTAGAATGCAGAAGTCCCGCAGTTCCGCTGATCCTCCTCCTTAAATAAAAACTCTAGTTACCCCTCAGAATGCACACTCAATTCCTCTTAAATCGCTCTCTTGTCTTCAGAAAAGGAGCGGTAGGTTAGTTCAGAACCTTGCACTCTCGCGTTCCTAGATGTTTGAAGAAAATTGCCTCTCCGTGACATGCCCTTAACCTTTCCTTACACAAAAAAACAATGACGAAATCGAAAGTACCATCAATGGCATCATGAGAAGACCACCCAAGACGATCAATCAAGTATCGACAAACCAGATAGCCGCTTCGATTGATCCCATTTGTGCAGTGAACACCAATTATCAAATCTAAACTTTTTGATTATCAATTTAACATCTTTCAAGTTGAGTATCCCACAAAATGCTTTTAAAAGTGCTGGAGTTTTATGCCAACCATTGTCTGCATTCGCATCCAAAAAGTTGTCCACTACAGCATTGAAAGAATCCACCAAGTCATCTCTATCGGCGAAACCTCGTCCCGGACAGTTGATTTTCTCATATGGGATGCACATACCTTCAACATCGCCTTTGTCATAATATCGATCTGTATCTGTCAAATCGATAATGAGTCCAAGGGTCAAACCGCGTTCCGCAACCTTAAAAACTGCAGCTGAGATTATGTAAATCTAGCAAGAAATGCTTCACAACAATTGATACGCACATTCTAAACTGAAAAAATTGAATGAAACGATACAAGACAAACCGTTCGAAGCAAATCAGGTACATTGAAGCGCTGTTTTTTGGCGATCTTGGTTGCCAAATGGGAATTAATCGGGGTTTTAAACACGAGGAAACGTGTAGAGTTGATAACGCCCCCGACCGGCTTGTAGTTTGTCCATCTGAAATAAAATTCATGCAAATCACAGAGATAAAACCATGTGAATTGAAAATGACCTGAAATGTGATTTGTGTATGACTGAAGTAAAAAAACAAAAGCAAAACTGTACATGACATAACAAACTTAAACGTATGATCAGGACGCGAAAAATACACGAATCGCATGTTGGAAAACAACAAACCACCTAAGCCAATTCCTAAATCAAGATTTGGCTCCGACTCCAAGCTGAATGGTAGTTTTGAACTTCAAGAGCAGAAAAAAATGATGATACAGAAAAAAAACTTTAAAATAACCAATAAAAA